TTATTTTAGAGACAGAGTCTCGCACTATTGACCGCTTGGGCTGGAGTGCACTGCCGTGATCTCGGCTCACTGCAACCTCCACCTCCCAGGTTCAAGTGATTCTCCTGCCTCAGCCTCCTGAGTAGCTGGTGATGCGTGCCATCACCCCTGGCTAATTTTTTGTATCTTTAATAGAGATGGGGTTTCGCCATGTTGGCCAGGCTGGTCTTGAACTCCTGACCTCATGATCCGCCCACCTTAGCCTCCCAAAGTGTTGGGATTACAGGCTTGAGCTACCGCGCCTAGCCTTATCTGCCATTTCTAAGTAGGGGAACCACATGTCTCTGTTTACCCAAGACAGTCCTGGTTGCCCCAGCATCATGGCAGGCCACCCCTAATACTTGTGGGCCCCATTATGGGAATAAAAAAATGGAGGTCACTCGATTATTGTTCTTCCTACCAATGGGCTCCATGTAGGTGTGTGTGTTAGTCTGTTTTTGTTGCTGTAACAAAATACCTTAGACTGGGTCATTTATAAAGAATAGAAATTTATTTCTCACAGTTCTGTAAGCTAGGAAGTCCAAGATCAGAGCCCTGATAGGTTTGGTATCTGGTGAAGGCTGCTCTCTGCTGCCAATGGTGCCTTGTTGCTGGGTCCCCACATGGCAGAAGGGCAAAAAGGAGGTCTAGTTAGTTCTCTTGAGCCCTTTTACAGAGGCACTAATCCTATTTATGAGGGCCCTGCCCTCATGAACTAATCACCTCCTAAAAGCCCCACCTCTTAATACTGTGAGAGGAAAATAAAAACTTGGGATCCCAATTCGTTCTGCCACAAGGAAAAGTTAAGCTGAAAGCCGAGTCATGCAGGAGGCTGCCTTTCCTTTTGCTCCTGAGCAGATGCCTACCGATAAAGGTTAAATATTTCCACAGGTAGCTGCTCTATATTCCCCTTACTGTATGTAAAATACCGATTTACTGAGCAGGAGAGGAAGACATAATTGACTATTCCCCTACCTGCTCTTTTTTCCTTGCAACCTGTGGATTTCCATATCCTCTCTCTTTCCCCTGCAGCCTATTTTTCCCTTTAAATATTGAAGCCCTCGAAATCATCCTTAGAGAAAGGCACAGACCACAAGCTGTTTCTGTGATTTTGTGTTTTGTTTTCTTTTTTCCTCCCAGGCACGTCCTTAACCTTGGCAAAATAAACTTGCAAATTGATTGAGATCTGATGCATACTTTTTTGTTTACAGTATCATCGTCTTGGGTCTTAGGTTTCAGCATATGAATTTTGGGGTGATTCATAGATTCAAACCATAGCAGTGTGTGTGAACACCCCAGCCTGCAGGTTTACATCAAGTCCACCCCCCAACATTTGCCCATTGGCCATCCTTTGGGACTAGAGATGGGTATACCTGTCACATTGCTTGCCCTTTGGAAGATATACCTGGGGAAGAGGCTGACCCAGGCTTTGGAAGAGACTTGGGGTCATTTGGGCAGAGAGTTCTGGAGTCATATGGAGACTTGGAGCATGGTCTGGAAGCAGGAGGCACTGGCTCTGAAAGGGCAAAATCCTTTGGCCCATGGACTTCTCAACCTTTAGGGAGGAACATAGCGAGAGGAGGAGTGGAATGGGTCTTTACTAGTCCCAAAGTGGGTAGGGCAGGTTGTCCAGGATTCAGGGAGATATTGATTAAAACTCCTCCCTTTCATTGGCAAAGGTGTCCTTGTCTGGACAATCAATTACACAGTCATCTCATTTGTGAGTTGTGTGGCTTTGGGCATTACTTCCCTTTCTAGTTCCCTGATTTGTAAGATGGGAAATCCACTGTGGTAACCACAGATGCTGCTCACCAGTCCTTTCAGCAGTAGGATCACATTCTCCTGTTCCCTTGAAGTTAGATGTGGCCACATGACTTGCTTTGACTGACCAATGTCAGTGAGCATGAGTGACAGGGGCCACTTTTAGGTGGCAGCATTGGATTGCCTGTGTGGGGTCTCCAGTGGATATGGGTGCTTGTGGAGATGCCTTGCTGAGCTCCCACGCCACAGACAACTGGCCAGGCCACAGCTGGCTTTGCAAAAGCAAAGACTATACCTCTGTTGCTTTAAACCACTGAGATGTTAGGGTTGTCTGTTACTGCATTATAACCTGGCTTCTCCTCTTCCCTACAAGTACCAATCTCAAGGGCTGCCGTGAGGGTTACATGAGAAAGAAATGTATGTATGTGCTTGGCATAGTACCTGGTACAGAGCTATCAGTGTTTATCCTAGGAGCAATGAAATGTGTAAGTGCTCACTGCACAGGCACCTTTGAGGTAGAAGGGAGCCAGTCCTTACAGCTATTTTCTTTGACAGACTTCTGTGGGAGAATTAGACTCTATTTTCTATTTTACGTGAGAAAAATAATAGAGGTACTAAAAGCACATGGGGTGGTGGGACACATTACACCGAGGGTTTGTGTCCCCAGCTGCGGACCCTGGGACTGACCAGAATTAAGGATGGGGATGGCTTCTTTGGAAATAGCCCCAAGTTCATGTAAATCTCACGAGTTTACTGATGACACAAGCTTTCCAGCCAGTGCTCAGACTTAATACTTCAGTGTGAGCCAAAGTGGTGAACATTATAGCACTCATTGGTTTTTAGTGGGAATTCTATTGCTATAAACTCATTTCAGTACTTCAGAGACAGTCAAATCTCAATTGCATGTTCTTGGAGAAACCCGAGATTTTATTACGAAAGTAACAAAATAAATCTAGAAGGAAAAAAAAAATCCCGTCAGCCACTCACTACCTCATTCCATGAGACATTTTAGCTGAGCTGCTCACAAGCAGCCACATAGCAACTGTTTGCTGGGCACTTCTGAAAAGATACAACTCACGTGTTTGCTAACAAGGGAACAACTACCATATTCCAAGCAGGTGAAGAAAACCTTCAGGTATTGCAGATTTTCTAACTACATTTTTGTGACACTTGAATTCATTCGAAAACCTACAGTAAGAGACGAGGGGTGTAAAATGTGTGTTCATGTTTTGCTTGGACAGACTATGGCTCCTAGCAATTAATGCTTTCAGTCACATTAAGCATTAAATAATGCTTTGTGACATTACAGTATTTCCCATTACAGATCAATTTTGTAGCATTTGCTCATAATCAGACTTGAAATGTTACCTAGAAACAAAATATGTTTTCCTTGAAACAGTCAGACCTTATTAGAAATCTAAGGTTTTACAAATCACCATGTTAACAGTTATGTCCCCTAGCTAAGGTTTTCTTTCTTTAAATAGTGTTAAATTCAGCCCCAGAAGCTCTAGTATCTTTCAGGGTTAGTCTTCCAATGTGCACTGACTTGAAAGGAAAAAGTTAATGCTCCAAATATATTTAATGTCTTACTACATATAATAATAAATCAACTATATTCCTTTTTGGAGGTGAAAAATAATGTCATCACCTTTTAAGTTGTTGTGCTTATAATTAGGTTACACAATATTATTTTCTCATTTTTTAAAAAACAGCTTCTCATTACTTAAAAAAAAAAAAAGCCATCAGCTTATTTATACTGAAGCGGAGTTCTTCTCATTTCCTTACCACATTATCATATGCTGTGGGTGAGCAAAGAACGATAAAACATGAAATTCTGAGATTTGGAGCAGCACAACTTAAAGCTAAATGGAAGAGAACTTCGGAGCCAGGAACGCCTGGAGTTGATGTCTTACCTTGTCATTTAATCATCGTGGAATCTTGGGCAAATCTCTCAAATTCCCATTTAGCAATTGTTAGCTATTTTAATATTTTTTACAGAATTATTTTCCTCTGAGGGATATTCCCTTTGATTAAAGCCATCAGCCTCTCACTCATTCAGCAAATAATTCCTGAGCATTTACTGCTGCTAGACTCTACTATTCTACGTCCTGGGAAGCAGCAGTAAATCAGAAAACGAGACTGTTGGTCTCATGGTTTATATTCTAGCTTGGGAGAGACAAGCAATGTCCAAACAATATAATGTCAAGTGGTGTAGTAGGTTAGCTTGAATGGCGGCCCCCACCCCTGCAAAAGACATATTCACCTGCTAACTCCTGGAAACTGTGAATGTGATTCTACTTGGAAAAAGGGATGATATAATTAAGGACCTCATCTTGGATAACCCAAGTAGGCTCTAAATCAAATGACAAGTGTCCTATAAGAGACACACCAAGGAGAGACACAGAGAAAGGAAAGGCCTTGTGAAGACAGAGACAGAGATGACGCAGTGGAGTGATGTAGTCACAAGCTAAGGAACTCCAAGGAGTCACCAGAAGCTGGAAGAAACAAGGAGGCACTTTCCCTGGCGCTTTCAGAGGCAGAGCAGCCCTGCTGACACCTGGACTTCAGACCCTGGCTCCAGAACCATGTAAGTTTCTGTCACTGTAAATCTTTGCGGCAATTTGGACAGAAGGCATGGAAATGAATATAAACGGTAATGCATGACAAGAATAAAATGGGGACGTTCAACCGGGATTCAAGTTGGGATTACTTTAAATAGTGGGGTCTGGAAGGCCCCCCTGAGGAAGCATCATGTTACCCGAGGGTGTGAGAGATGGGTATTCTGAAGGTGAGGGGGCAGCAAGTGCAAAGGGCCCAACCTGGGCATGACCTCGGTGTGTCTGAGGACTAGAAAGTCTGTGAGGCCAGAATATAGGCGATGTGAAAGGGAGAGAGGTGAGGAGATGATGATACTGCTGGTAGGGGCCAGATCCCTTAGACCTCCTCCTGCACGGCCTCGTAGGCCCAGGGAAGAAGTCTGGATTTTCCAGTTGAAACCTTTTTCAGGAAGATTTTATAGTTAAAATGACCTACAGAAGAAAGGGCATTAAGCATATTATTAAATTAGTAAATACGAGTCTATTCTGAACATTCTAGTAACTGGATAAAAAAAACAGAACCTTTATAATCTTATTCACGGAATCCAACCCCACCGTTCTACACTATACGAATAATAATGTCACAAATAGCATCTGTGAAGTCAAACACCACAGGACACAGTAGAGAATCCTTAGGGGGATCCTTTATTTCATTCACTTCCTCCTTACAAGGTGAAATTTCAATCTGTACAGGTTGTGTCTGCCAGTTCAGTCCACAGCTCAGAATATCACCTTGTCCTCATTCCATGGTATAAGCTGTTCTGTGGGGACAGGTCCGAGGGTCGTGGATTCACTGGACTGGATGGGACATGATCCAGAACTCCGCTCTGTTTGGCTTCCCAAGGATCCCACCACCTCATTCTAATCAGTGATCACTGAGGAAATGCATTGTATTCCTATTCACTATTTCAAAGATCAGGCCTACCTCACTGGCATATCAAGAAAGTTTTCTCAAGTATATTTAGTGTTCATCATTTTACTATAGTTTTTCAAATGTCTGACATTCATCTTTTCCCTACCTCTAAATTCCTTTCTTTTTCACATTATCTTTCTTGATTGCTTTTTAATAGAAAAACAAACAAAGACATGGATTTATTGTGCATATTAGCAGATTCATACTGGAAAATGCATGGAGGTTTCATACACACCACTTACAGTAAGGAACAGCTCAGAGTATAAAGTCGAGAAGAAAGAATCTGAAATATTAGACTTGTTCTGAAATAAGCTTACCTAGGATGATACCACTTTTGCTTAATCAGAATTTCCCCTTTCCAACTATTTAACAGTGGCAAATATTTAAAAATCTGGTAGTGAAAATACATAGCAGTCACTTCATATCACTGCCTCCTCCAACCCACTCAACTTCTGAAGAACAGGGGTTTTTCAAGTTTTCTTCCCCTTTAAGTTTTAATGGGGAAAAAAAAAAAAAAAACTTTTAAAAAGTCACGTTGTACCAAGATATCCCCAGAGAGAACTGCAATTTACCAAGGTTTTCATGTGTTTTGAGAGAAATCTTACTGAAAGAATAGTGATGTCCATTTTCCAGTAAATACTGAGCGAAAAACAATTTTTATACCCCAATCCGAGGTACAAACTTGCTTTTTGTGGGAACACAACTGCTGTAAATTAGACAATTGTTAGCAACAATCCAAGACAATAACAGAATGCCTATGACAGTCTGCCATATTCTGGTGAGTGTCTATCAAAGCTCATCATGATTTTTTGTGAGATCTTCCCCATAATTGGTAGCTTGGCTTCCAACGAACATGTTCCAATTCTCCAATATTTCCTCTTTAGTTAGCTTCTCATCCTATAGAAGAGATGAAAGAGCTCTGTCACGGAAGCTCTGATAACTGTACTAGTTTAGCATGATGTTCATGTCATTTCATTGATTTGCAATGTTTAAAATACTATATTTAGTAATTCAGAAGCTACTGGGCACCTCCTTCATCTACCATGACTGCACTGCAAAACTCCAAATCGGAACAGCCTCTTGCTATAAAAACTGTGCTAACATGCGTCAGGGAAGTCCCTGAGTAATTCAGAAGCTAGAATCCATTCGTGTCCACAAGCAGTGTTGGTCTTCCCAAAATAGGCCCTCAAGAATGCCACTTCCCTCTTATGGCCTCACTGCCTAACCTGACTATTGGCATAACCTGAGAATTTGGGGGCAATCAGCAAAGCGGGGAATAGTTCTAAATTTATTGATTTGTTTATTTGAATGTTTATCAATAGATACCGAAGTACTAGGCATTAAAGCCAGAAACCTGAGCTTGCCTGAGGATGTCTGGGCTTTAATGGGATGGGCTTCCTTGTTCCTGACACATCACAGATGTTTGATAAATATTTGGTGACAATGAATGGATAAATAAGCTGATCCTAGGGCAACACGGGGTATACTTCTTAAATCGTGTCCTGCCCACAAAGTTCTGCAGTCCTAGCAAATGTGACTTAATGTAAGTCTGTGGCTCATAGCTGACTTTCCAGGAAAGTTCAGGCCTAATAAGCTTACTGTGGGTTATCATGGTATTAGCTCAAGTTTACAGGTCTCCACAAGAAGGAAAAGTCAATAAAGACATGGTCACATGGGTCAACGCTATCGCCGAGAAAAAAAACCAAACCAATCTTATGTAAACTGTCTCCCTTCAATCAGTGATTCCAGAAGAATGGGAAATACCTTGTTTTTGTCTGACTCATATACCAGATGCCTGGCCTCTGCCTGTGCATGATCATAATCTTGAGGGAGGATCCAGTGGCGAATCTCATCTTTGTCCAACTTCCCGTCCTTGTTCAGATCCCGGAATTCGTTAAACTGCTCCCGTTCTGATAAAACCCAGTCTGGCTCAGGGCCATTCTCCTCATGGGAAAACATATCCGCTAGAAGGGAAGGTTGTTGTTGGTTACAAAGGAAAGTGGGAAGGTAAATCGCCCCTCCCCGCAAAATAACTTGACTTCCTGAGCTTTAGGAAAGGCGATGACCAATCCAGAGACCTAACTCAAACAGCTGGTAGGCAGTTTCTTGGGGATAACGATGCAATAATTTATTCATGATGAAGGCCACGTGGTGGAGTAGAAAGAACCGAGTTTAGAAGCTGAAAGATAAATCCCGGCTTTTGACTTAGTTCAGTGACTGAGCCTGAAGTTTCCTTGTCTGTAAAATGGAGACGATAATTTATAAATCACGGGGCTATTATGATCAAATGTGCCATTCTGACGTAAAAGCCCTCTACAATCCAAACTGGCACTACATAAGCGAAAACTAATAATAATGACTAACAGTGAACACTGTGGTCCAGATACTGTATAAAGTGCTCTACACACATTTTTCATTTGATTTTCACACAACAACCTTACGAAGTGAGTGCTGTTATAATTCCCATTTTACAGATGAAAACAATGAGGTAAAGTCTTACCCAATGACCCACAGCTCATATGAGCTGGAGGCCGCACAGGAACATGGCCACTGTGCTTTCAACCCAGAGTCTCAGCCACTGTGCTTAGTACTATTGTTTATATCATTTCCAAAGGGCTTTCACTTGTCATTTTATTTCATTCTCATAACAATTCTACAAGATGGGTCATCACCCCCATTTTACAAAATGGCAAGGAAAAGAGAAAGGAAACGTTTTTGCATTGTGTGTGTGTCAGTAGCTCTTGGAAAAGAGAGATACTCTGCAGGCAGTTTCTCTGTAACGGAAGCAGAGCTTGGAAATGTCAGGTGGTGAAGGCAGCAGGTTGTAAGAGAAGGAAAAAAAGAGACAAGACCCTTGACTACAAGGTAGACCCCTAACTGACATGTCTACATTGTTTTGGAGAAAGAGTTGTAATATGTATTAGCTAATTCAAGCTTCATCGAATCCTGCAAGAATGGGCCAACTTTTTTTCCCCATTTTACAGATGAGGAAGCTGAGGTTTAAAGCCATTACATGATTATCCCAGGGTCACACAGCTAATTGGTGGAGAAGCTAGGCCTCCGAATTCCAGTGCCCTTCCTACTACACCCCCCACCACCCACTTTCCACTTGTCGCCTCCCCAAGAAGTGAAATGACGAGTCAATACATTGGGTTCCTCTGCCTGTGAGTCACTAAGTATTCGATTTTCAAGCGCAACGCCTCCACCTCCCTCTCTCTATTCAGTGTAAAGAATGGGATGCTTCTTCTAGGCAAAGCCACTCAAAGAGTTCTGCCCCTGACTTTGCACCACTTCAATGTACAGTTCCAGAGGGCTGGGCAGAGCACACACTTTCAATCAAAAGCACTACATTGTTTGTTTTAACCATGCAGTCTTTGCTGTTAGTCTCATTTCATCCCCAGTGCCACAGTGAGAGGTCTGCGCCTCTGAACGTGACCTCGCATGTGGACCCAGCAAGAGGAAGGCACTACTGCTTCCTCTGATGAGGGGGCTGTCAGCATATGTCATTCTATCAGGGTAGTGCCACCAACATCACTTTAATTACTGTGGCGAGAGCTACGTTGTCTGTTACCAATGACACACAAGGAACAGTGTTCGGTTCACGATCAAACATAATTTCTAATGATTAGAGGAAACTCTGCTCTTCATTGCTGAAGGCACTTGTTCTTGTGTCTGGGGTGGCAAAGTAATACAACCACAAAACCAGAGACAGACAGCAACTCGGGCTCTGGGTTTTACATTTAAAGGTAATTAATGGCTTCGATTAAAAATCTGTACAAAAGTTATACATATTTCATTCCTCTTGTCATAGGTCAACACTTAAATCAAATGATTTTCCAGCTTTTACTTCATCGAGACTTGGGAAAAGAGCTGCCATGAGAAGGGAGCCTGCAGCTGGAGCCATGTGCCATAGCAGGTGGTAAGGATCAAAAGGAATTGCCCTTGTTGCCTGCTCTGGTCCTTTCCAGCAGGGGTTGGGCTGGGGGGATTTGGAGCTACCAGGAAGCGCTCTAAACAGCAATGGTGGGTTCAGACCCAAATACATTAATTTGACTCTATGGGACTCTCAACCGAAGGATGGGAAACGAGGGGTACAAAATGACAATATTATTGGGCAATTGTGCACTCTGTAAAACATTTATCTCTCTAAGAAGAATGCCTTTCTGCAAAGAGCTCAGACACATAAACAGTTCTGTTAATCACAGCTGCATCTACTCAGAGCTTTTAGGCCCCACTGACCCCATCCAATTTTAGAGTTTTTGTCCTGACACTGTCTCTTCTATCTTTACTGTAAATCTATGGGATCTCCAATGCCCTTTTGCAAAGGTAAAACCAGGCAGTGTGACGAAGGGCACCTCTCAGAGGCCTGGGGCCAACTGTTGGCCAGCCTTGTGTAGGGCCAGCCTTTTCATCTCTTCTCCACTGAATAAGGTCTAATAATACTTCCCTGATACTACACCACTAGGGTTGATGGGACAAGCAGGCTGGAAGTTCACAGGAGTGACTTATAGACTTGCAGCTGTTGCTAAAAGAGACGTCTGGGGAAAGTAGCCAGACGTGTGGGTGGGGGGGCATGTGGCCCAGTCAGGAAGCTGAGCAAGACTCTAGGTCAGCACTCACCAATATACTCATCCTGATCCACAAACCCATCCCCGTTCTTGTCGATGTCCTCCAGGGTTTCCTAGGAAGCAAAGGGTGAAACAGAATGCAAGATGGCCATGTGCTCTAAGGAAGTCTGAGAATTCTATTGTCCTCCTTTATCCAGCTTTTATGGCTGAATGCTTGGTGACTTCTGGCTCATCTCCTTACTTCCCTGGGAACTAGTTTCTTATTTGTACAAAACAGGCAATAGTTTCTGTTCCTAATCCCCCACCCCAATTTCAAGAGCAGAACGCTTTCTTCAAAGCAAGATGTACCTGTAACCCTAGAGGTGCTCTGATGATATCAGGCCCTGCCAGGCCAACCAACTCTACCATCCAACCAAAACACCCACTGGGGAACATGCGAGAAAACCAGTTTGAGAACCACTGGATTACATGACCTCAAGAATAGACTGCAGTGCTAACAGGACTATGAATACTGAGTTGGTGTCAGAGAAATGTGAAACAGTGGTCAACTCAAAAATAAAAGTATAACTGATTTTTTAATGTATTATGCTCTGTATTTAGTATGCTTGACCCCTTATTTACATTTTTTGGATTGCGTCAATAATTAAATGAGTTTACTGTTCATTGGCACAGCAACTCAGAGGCATCCTGGGCCAAACCAAAGAGAAAACCTGAGAGCAGAGAGCCACTCCCAAAGGCTCGTCATCCACTGTGGATCATTCCCCACCTGCACTGTCCTCTGCCACATTAGCTATCACTACATGGATGGTGAGTGGTAGAGAAATGATTCTTGGAGCCACCGCCCAGTCCTTAAAGTCATGGTGATCACGAGGATGAAGCATGAGCAGACCCTTCCACCACCTGGATAACTAAAACCATCTACAACTCGTGTAAACAAAAGCTCTAGCCATCTGTTTCCCAGGATTGAAACAGTTGGAACTGGCTTGGTGCATCTGCCCAGGAAAACAGGTGATGGCATTTATTTAATTGTCATGGAAAATGAAGACATTTGGGACCCAACAAGACACTATGGAAAGCAACCACATTCTGAGGCCTTACAAGCAGAGTCACTCCTCAAAGCCTAGGGCCTGATCCACCCACCCTCCAAAGACCTACCCCCTAAGGGTAGCATCCCTTCCAGCCATAATTTTTACTTTACATTTCCACACAGTTTTAACAATCCAATTCATTCCATTTCTGAGTCTTTTCCCAAGTCCCTTAAAACTGAAAAATGGGGCAGAGACTAGCTAGTTGCTCACTTAAGCCATTTGCTCTTTCCTTTTTTTTTTTTTTTTT